TAAAGTAAACCAAAAAATTTATTTTGATTTATATTTTTAATAGAAAAATTTATTTACTATTTTATATCATTTAATTAGGCTAATACAATTTAATTATTACATAGTTAATATGAGATTGACTTTTTTTAAAATATTATTTATATATGACACACATAAAATATTTTTTACACAAATATTTTTGTTAATAAAATCATATTAATGTTTAAATCATAAAGTGAATGATAAATAATAAATATATTGTAAATATTTTATAAATTTTACAATTACCTACTATTACCGTAAACTTATTATTTATTAACAATATTTATATTTTATTTATATTTTAATTTAAAATAATATTTTTCTATGCAACATATGTATTACAAACACAACTATAATCTATTAAATCTAAATAATATTATTCTTACTATTTATTCACGTTCAAATTTTTTTTTGAAGAGATATAAATATAAAAAAGTTATTATTAATTTTTATTTATTAATTTTTTCAGATAAAAAAGTATAATTTTTTTAATATACACGTATATTTTTTTATTATAAAATTTTATTGTAACTATTTATCTTTTATTCAAATTTTTTCTTTTAAAATTTATATACATTATAAATATTTAATTTATTAAAATAATTTTTCAAAAATTTGTATTTTTGATAAAATACTTTCGTATAGTATATGAGTTAAAAATACTAGTATTAATATATATATATATATATATATATACACTAATTATATTATATTATTTTAATTAAATTTATTATTTTTCTTACAATTTCAAATTCAAAAGTTAAAAAAAAATTTATGTATCAACTTTCTGTTGTTAGTATTGAACTTCTCTACTCTAACTCTATTCTCATTCTCAATGTCTGTCTCATTAAAACTTAACAACTATGAAATGTTATTCATTAAAGTTAGTTGTCAATGCCGTCACAAGAGGTCACCAAGTAATCCTACACAAAGGGACAACCATTGTACAGATCTATTTCGCTGTCGCTCTGACATTGTCAATCGATCAAATCTCACACAAGATAGGGTTATCACTGACAAACAACTTGTGTGTTTAGTTTCGCTTATTATTTCTAAAAATTTTAGTTTAAAAAATTATTATATTAAGATACATTTAGCATTTATGACCTTTGAATATTTGTTTTTTTTTATCTATGTTTGTACTTTGTTCGGCAACTACATATTGAATTTTTGTATTATTATGTTACCTATGTGAAGTTATATAAACATATTTTTCTTTATAAATATTTTTTTCTCAAACAAGCGCGGGTAATGAGTACAAGATGGGTATGCAGGTACAGGTACAAGGATTAATGTTCATACCCACACAGATATGGGGCTGAATACGGTATTTTTTTAAAACGCGGGTATGGGGATGGGTACTATAGTACCCTACCCATTGTCATCCCTAAGGATATCACGTGTACCTAATCGTTATCCTCTACGGACAACAATTAGGAAAAATACTAACTATGGATGTCTATATTTTTTTTTTATGCATCTACCTATACTTAACTCTAAAAGTGACTGTATCTATTATATTTTGGGAAAGATATATTTATTTTTTGTATATTTAAGCTAGAGGTAAAAGATAATTTATGTATATTATTTTTTATATTTTTATAACTTTTTTTATTTAAATAATATATTTTTTAAAACTATTTTCTAAAATAGAATTTTTTTTAAAACTAATTCTCTATCTAATGTTTTTTTTTGTCATGTAAGTTGTAGTATTGTACAGACGATAATGTATTTTTATTATTATTTTCACAAGTTATGGCCCAAATAATTGATATTATCCACAAATTGATGCATGTCATAGATGGACGTATATCAAACGAGTTTAGATGATAGTAACATAATTATCTTAAAATAAAATATTTAACTTAGGGGCAGATATTATTATTTCATCGTGGATCCTACTTGTAATAGAAATGATACAGTGATGTTGAAAACATCTATAGAAACCAAGCACGTGCTAATGCAGCCATTAGCTTTTCACCTTCCTTAAGTATGTGGCCATAGGTAAAGCCACAACGAATCCATAATTTGAAAGAATAGACCTGCCCACAGCGAATCCCCTGCAACAACATTCGAAATCCATTTTCCCTTAAAGGAAAATTTCAAAATCAAAATCAAAATCAACAACACCTCTTGGGCTCTTACATTCAAATTTCATGCAACAACACCACTAATGCAATTTCACTCTCACACTCTCTTTCTCTTTTCATTTTCTTCTGGTTTGCAACCTTGTGTGCCTCAAGTGCTACTTCATCAGATTCCGTTTGAGAAGTGAAGGAACTAACGAAAAAGTAATAAAATATCACATTACTATTGCCTAAACTCATCCAATACACATCCATCTATGACACGTATTAATCTCTAGATAATATTAGTCATTTTAAGACAATATCTTATTAAAATAATAATAAAAATATACTATCGTTTATATATAAGCGATATTACTAGTACCATGGAAAAAAAAAAACAACATTAAACAGAGAATTAGTTTAAAAAAATCCTATTTTAAAAAATTGTTTCAAAAAATGTATTATTTAAATAAAAAAGTTATTTTTATACTTACTACTATTTTAGACATTATAACATGTACATGATTATTCTTACCGAGAGGATCATACTTACTTATGTATATTTTGGCAATATTCTATTGTGTGAATAACTCATTATTTATTTAACGTTTGAAATTACTTTAAAAAGTTTATATTTTTATTATAATTAAATAAATAAATATGATTAAATTTTAGTGACACATGATATAATAATTATTTATAAAGCAAAAGTTTTATTTTTTACGCATATTTTTTAAATTTGTTATATTAATTACTACATGTAATTAGCTGAAGTTATAAAATCATTGGTAATTATATGAAGTTATAAACTGTGGATAATTACTAGAGGTTTTACAATCATGGGTAATTAATTATTGGAAGTTAATAAATCATAGGTAATCATTGCTATTAGTTACATTCACTTATTTTAAGTAACACATTTGCCATGCATGATTTTCTCAAAAGAGTCAATTGTGGTAATACCTTTAACGTGGGATTAAATCATCACTACGCTATAAAGGATATATGAGAGGGGTTTCGTTTTAACTTAGAGAGTGTTTAGAACTATTCTAAAATATTGCGCAATCCAATGTATTATATTTAAGAGAGCGGTTAAATAACTGCTCTCAAATGTTGATATTGGAGAGCAAACTGCTCTTACAAAGTGGATGATACTTAGAAAATAGTTTATATAAATGCTCTCAAAAGTATGAGTAGTGAATTGCAAATTTGAAATTTGAAAATTCTTTTTTTTGTGTTTTCTATTATAAACCAAAATTAATTTATTGTTACATTCAAAATTTTTTCATTTTTATCACAAATTAAATTAAAACTTGAGTTTGTACATTATATTAACCAAACAATCTACATCTATATGAACTAAATACTAGTAAGCAGAGAAAAGAGAATAAATTAGTAGGATGATTCATGGTTAATAAAGAAAGAAAGAAAGAAAGAAAGAACTATAAGGTATCAATAGATGTGAAAAATAACAACTTTGTTAGCGCAAAGAAGACGAAGACAACTTACAGATGTGAAAGAGACCAACTTTCTTAGTGCATAAAAAGCGAAGAACACAAAGAAGATGAAGAGAACTTATAAATGTAAAAGAGACAAACTTTGTTAGCAAGACGAAAGGATTCATAAAATATAAGTTGAGTATGCTTTATTTATAAAATAGAAAAAAGACATTGGAGAATGGTTCTTTATTAATTACTTTCAGAAGTATGCATTAGAGAACGATTCTCTATAAACCGCTCTCTGAAAATATATATTAGATAGTGGTTTATAGAAAATCGCTCTTTAAAGTGTGTGACTTTAGAGAGTGATTAATAGAGAACCACTCTAAAAAATATACATTAAAGAGTTGTTCTCTGTGAACAGTTCTTAGAAGTATAGATTAAAATGTCATTCAACGCTAACCGCTCTAAGAAGTGTACATTAGAGAACGGTTAGCATTAAACCACTCTCTAATGTATAAATAGAGAATCGCTCTCTAAGTATATTATTATAGAGTAGTTTCTACTAATCACTGCTAAGTTAACACTCCAAAATTTCGTTTCTAGCATAGGTCATTTTAAAATAAGAAATAATTTTGAATAAAGTTATATTTTTTTGTATTGGAACAATATCTTTTATGTTTACATTAGGACTTGATTACTTTGGAAAAAAATAATTTTAGATCATTTATTTATGATTAAAAAATTATATTTTATGAACCAACTTTATTTTAATACATAATATATAATTTTAAATTCACTATTAACATAAATAAATTTTATTAAAGTAAAAACAAATATGGACTATAATTCTTTTTTACCTATGAATTTTTGTTCGCGTGCCTAAATGTTGAATGTTGTAAGTGAGTCTACCACTGAAAATTTTTTGCATACACAAAAATCTGAATCTAAGAAGTTGCTTAAGTGATGTCGAGCCACTTGCCACTTGAACCAACCTCCATTGGCTTACCTATGAACATTTATTTAGCTAAAATTTGACATGCATAATTAATATATCATTACATGACTCAACAAGTAAATTTATTATATTCATACAAAGTTAAACAATTGTTTAAGGTCATATTTGGATAATTAACAAAGTTGAATAAATTTTAATATTTTATTTCTGTATTAGCCTATATTATAAACAAGGAAAAAATATTATTAGAAATTTAAAAGTATAGGTTAGAAACATATTAATTTAGTAATTATAAAAATAAAATCAATTAAAATTTCATCTAATGCCTCCTCTTCTTTCCCGATTAAAAATGATGATTTCAAATGAAAAGAGAAAAACTTTATTTTATTAAATACCTTCTTATTTTATTAATATTTAATCAATTCAAATAATATAACCATTCAAAATAACATAATCTAGCTAAGAGTTAGTCTTAAAATAAAATTCACAGTAATGTATTCCACCATAATAAACATGGTAACTGAATTCTATTCATAATTTAACAATGTATAACACAGTAAATGCACTCCTTAACTTAGTTTAAACTATTAAGACATGATAGAGAGTTGAAATTTAAAAGGAAGATAATTTGAAAGCTTTTAACAAAGTGATTATTGTGGTAATTATATATTTCTGATAAATGAAAAAGAGATGAGAAGCAAGCTTTGCTTTATGATTGAAAAAGGACTTTCCCATTTTCAATGTTCATCTGGGTAATTTGGATCTCCTGAGGAAGAAGATGATACTTGACACCATGGATCTCAAAGAGCCTTTTCAATTCCAAGAAAAGTTCCGTTATCCTAACGTTTCGCTCACCGTAGTTCTGATGGTTGATGGTATGTTGCACAGATAAGCACAACTTCAACTTGTCCACATTTTCTATTCCTTTTGCTATCATACCGTGTTTTGGATTCCAATACTTTGGCTTGCTCTCAATGTACCTAAAATCATAGTCACACAAGTCAGAAATATTAACAAAATGAAAAGGTGCTTATCTAGCTTGTTAATTAATTAAGTAGGTATAATCATGCTGAACTTTCTCTATTTCTCTCCCAAATACATCTTATTGGTAGTAAAATATAATAAAATAAAAATGTTCTGTATACAAAGTCTATGGAATAAAAAGCACTTACATTTGTATTGATTTCTTGAGTGCAAGGATGGTCTCCATGGGAGTTGAAACATCAATTGTGAAATCAATTGAATCCCACATCTCTGGACTCCTATAGAAATTGCTTATTGGCTTAGAGAGCAAAACTGCGTTAGGGTAGTATACTTTCTCATTGTCATATCGAAGAAATACTGTTGTCAGGATATTCATCTCTTCCACAATCATCTGTAAGTAGTACATGTGAGTGCATAATTAAATTGATAGGTAATATATGCATTTCATTTTTGTGTGTGTGTAGTGTCTACAGTAGGACTCCAAATCGGGAGCCATTGATGAAAGTAATATATTTTTTTATTCTTTATAAATTTAATTTTTATCCTCCAAAATTTGATCATTAAAACTTTACTAATGACAATGTTATATACACTATATATGTCACTTTAAAATAGATTGTTTTTTAAATTTATAAATATCAAAATGTAAAATGTTAGAAAATCATAAATAAATTTAATTATATTTCCATGAATATGTATTTAGCCTTAAATTGATCAATTGAAAATGAAGTAAAATTTTTATATTAAAAAGGAAGTCTAAGACCTAGTGGTGTTTAAAAGACCTAGTGAAACTTATTCTTGGATGCAAATAAAGTAGCACTCATGTGTTGCATCAGGATAGACAAGCTAAGGTTTCAAATTATGGTTTCAGGTTTACTTATAAAAGTGCAATCTAAAACCATGGTATACAAGCATAAGAAAATTTAGACTTTAGCTAAGTAATTTATAGAAACTTATTTCCAAAAAGTTTGTGAAATGACCTGAACTCCATCAATGACACAGCGGTCTCCAATATCAAAAGGGTGCATGACGAAGACAAAGACGATGGCCTCCAATACAGTCTTGCAAGTACCTTGGAAGGCAACTCCTATCAAAACAGTTTGTGTAATGCAGAATAATATTATCTTGACCGTTGCCACCCCCATCACCAAAATGGTCACAATGATTATTATCACACTAACAATGGCGCTTGCTAATTTGTGAAGCTGCTGTACTGCTGTTTTGGTATCATTGAGTGATTGTGCTAGAGCTTTTCGTTCATAATAAGCTCGAATCTGATTAAAATTTCATTTTCTAATTAATTTTCGATATTAACTATATATGTAATTGAACGTATGAACCTAACATATCTAAAGATATTTTACTCAATACTAGCTGTTTTTCAGCCAAAATAAAAATAAAATATACGAAAGAGGAATGAGTATCTAAAACAAAACAAAACGAGTAATACTTATAATTTGGTAATCTAGGTAATGTTGTTGATGTCACTATTATGACTGAAAGGAACGAATTTACAGTCAAAACTTACCACCCAATTTCTAAATGAAGACCTGCTGATCTTGCCAGTTTCAAGGGCGCCTTCAAAGAGTGGAAAAATGGTATGTATCTCAACCCTCTTCAAAAATCTCATGAGATCCTCCTCTTCAATATACCTTCAATAAATTAGAAATACCACCACATTTTAATTAATCATCTCATTCATATACACTTGGTGCGTGTTATTGTTGAATGTTATTCAATGGTTTGCCTATTTAAAAGTTAACTCCAGTACGTATTGAATCAATTTGTAGATTTCACAAATTTACAAGAGAATGAATAATGACCCTTTTACAGTAACTCTAACGTTATATTATTATGATTGTGAAGAACACAATGTCAACCCTCAGTTAACCAACCATCATGAATGCTTTATTTAATGTTTATGATTTTCTAACAAAAATTTAAAATATTTCTCTTCTCGAAATAAGATGCTGGAATTTTAACACTCTGGCTTCACTGGTAGGAAATTAAATTGGGCAACCATGAAATAATTTTATTGATCATTGAGCAATTCTGGACCCAAACATTTTGACCCACCTTATTTTCATCTATGAATATATACCAAGAATTGTTAAGCAGTGCTTTTCATGGGCCAAGATAATGGACCAAGTTAGAACACCTGGTCCTAGTGGGAAACAGTACATTAATAATGTTCACAACCAGAGGCATGATATAGTGCACCAGACGTATCTGCACTCAATGATTTGCATAAAAATGGAAGGTCGATCATCGACCATGGACATTAGGGCTGGTATCATTTTGGTGTAAAATAATGAAACTGACCCACCACTATTAATATGCGGTGAGTGCGATGGCCTAAACCAACCCCTTTATTCAAGATAGAATTGAGTCAGGTATTGAGGAAAAACAAATTTAAATATTTTTGGTATTTTACATTGAATTAAAATTTTATTTCTTTAACTTAGATATTAAAAATTCAACAATAATAATCAGTATGTAATCCTAATTTCAATTGAAAACAATATAAAAATGCACATAATACTAAAACTAAAGTTTTAAAAAAATGTCTAGTTCAGTTAAAATATTTTACTTTGATTCGATGTCATTTTAAAATTATTTTTATTTAATTCGAATTAACTAGATTAAATATAATATATTCAAGTAGAGTTGAGTTAGGTAAGTGTGTTTTAAAATAATTAAACTTCACAAAACATAAAAAATGTCATGAGTAATCTTTGTTGCCACGTTATTAAGCTTCACAAAACATTAAAAAAACATGTCATCAGTGATCTTGTTGCCACGTTTATGTCCTCCTTCCGTTTGTTCTTTCTTCTGCCATTAGGAGCACTGCCACTGAGACTAAAAAAGGAGCACTGAGCACAAAAGGTGGAAATGGATCGATCATGGAGAAACGAAATGGCGCATGAAACAAATCAGAGGAACAACGAAATATAAAATGATTATTGGACCACTAAGTGTACGAAACGAAGCACAACGTTGGCTAAGGTCACGACACTTATTATGTTTAGAGGATCATAACGACCACAAAATAAAAAAAGAGAAAGAAAAAACATAGGACCTACTCATAAGAGTGCTTCTCAGCTACTGAAGACGCTAAGAAAAGCTACTAAAAATAGTTTATAAGAAAAAAAAGTTAAAAGAATAAGAATACCTTGCTTAATCACTAGTACTCCCCACTGTTAGTGTGGTTTAGAAATTGTATCATGAAATACTGAAGTTTTAATCCGAACAAAAATAAGAAATCCAGAATTTGATCACGTTTTTTACGTGACTGAGATTAAAAAAAATAAAATATATTAACATGTTTAATTAAGTTATGATTCATAAATAGTCTATAATTTTAATTTTTGTGCTTATAAATTCTTTTAAAATTATTCTTCGGTAAAATTATTATTTTTATTATAAAACAGTCTCTTTTAATTTTTTTTATTTAATTAACATAAACATCAGCTCAGATGAAAATATAAGTAGAGTCGAGCTAATTGAAGTCCTAACCTTGGTTTGTTTACCTGTTTTAGACTATTTCTAAAAAACTTCTAATTAGCTTAGTAAGTCTTAACTTGTGTGTAGATTAACAAACTTTACTATTTTAAACACAACAAATAATCAAATGATCTTGTAATGATGTTTATGTTGATAATACTAAACAAAATTGAATTATAATAACGATATAAAAAATTACATTATTATTTAATCATATATTATTATCAGCAAGAATTATTAAGTTTTATAATAATAAATTTAAAAGTCATATATATTATATATTTTAATTAATTAATAATATAATTTTTTTATAAAAATGTAAACTCTCTACTTAAATAAGTGGGCCCGTTAAGTGTAAAAGACTGTTTCAACGAACAAAGCTTAACTTTTTTTTAATGAAACATAATATATAATTTTTTTTTAAGATCTATATCAAACTTAGATATTTCTATAATCTCCTGTGCACTTAATATTTTCTACATCATTTTAATCATGTAAATTTTTTTTCCAATATTTGTGAATGAAAAACCAAACTTGTGTAACAATTAAATTAAAAAACTAGCTAGAGTGAAAAATGAATTTCCATAAAGGGGTGACACACTTACTTGGCATCAGGCTTAGCAACGTTCTTGAAAATCTTCTGTGCACAATTTCTAGCTTCCCACTCGCTACTGATCTCAGACTCGGCGTTCCCAAAATCATCAACAGTCCTTGAAATGGTGGACAAACCGGAAGATCTAACATAGCTAACAAGCCTCTTCACACTCCATGCAGAAGCAGTGCTCTCCATGCTAAGCTCTCTCAGCTTCTCCATGTCAATCTTCCTCGAGCCAAACCTCTTAGACTTGTGCTGATTCTTTGCCTCCTTCAACTTCCCCCTCGTGGGCATCGACTTAGAGCCATTGAGTTGGTGCTGTTGCAATATCGCTTCAGCATCTTCCATTGGAGGCCCTGACAAGGTGTCCAAAATGTAGTGATGAAAAACGCTCTCTTTCATTCTATCAAAGTAAGTGGTCACGTGGAATGAACTTGCCAGTATTTTGACTAACACAATCTTTATAAGCCAAATGGTAGCACCCACTAAAACAGCCACCAAGGCTTGAAACACCTTGTTGAGGAACTTGTGGTTCTTCTTTTGGACATCATCGAACACCAGACTCCAGTAAGAGATTAAAACAAGGCCTAACCACAAACAGTTTCTTATGCTTTTTCTGAGTCCGTAGATGAAGTACAAGACCTTCTCCCTCAGCATGAAGTTTCGTTCGATGATGAAAACCGTTAGGCCAACTAACCATCCCGAAAACAAACGGCCACTGAAAGTGACCATTGCCATTAAACACCACTTCCAAATTTCCAAACCCCACACGTGAATGTTTGTAATGGAAGATATGGTAAGAGAACACACCAAACAGGCCATTATGTTGAGAAACAAGGCCCATTCCATCATGAGCCTCCACTTGACTTTGAACTTTCTCTTCGGGTGTAACTTGGGGTCGTGTTGTGAGTCATCTTCTTCTTGCTCATCTTCGCTCCAATCCCAATCGTCGTCGTCGTCGGAAGAGATCTTATAGGAAGGTTGAATGGTGTCGATTTCTTCGGGGGTTAGTAGCTTGGTGCGTGGAGGATAGTTGTATTCTAGGATTCGGGATTTGGGTTTTGAGAAGCTGAGACAGTTGAGAGTTTGGGCTCTCATCGGGGGGTGTTTGGGCTTCTCATTAGTTTGGGGATTCTCGGCGTCCATCGAAGAAGCTTTAGGATTGTGTTGGTCGAGGAAGACAACAACTTGCTCCGAGGACCTTGTTTTCTCCATTCAGTAGTGGGACTCTTGCTGCATGTGTTCACCATGCCAGAGTTACATATATATAACCATTTTCTTAATCTCTCTAAGTCATATATATATATACCCATATATATCTTGTTAACCAGAATTCGTTAAACCATCTTTTATATTATTGCTATCAAATTTTACATTTAAATATATGTAAGTATATATTATAATTTTTTTTATATTTTAAAAATATATTATTGTAATTTAACGAAGTTTCTTTTTATTTAAAATAAAATTAATTTAAAAATATTTAAATTAATAATTAAATTAATTATTTTTATGTTTTATAAAAAATTATTAATTAACGTAAGAGTTAAAATTTGTCTATCTATATCATTTAATAATTTTTATAAAATATAAAATAAATCGATTCAACATTAATTTGAAAGTTTATACTAAATTAATTTTATAAAATTGTATATAAAAATAAAATAAATAAATACTTTATCTATTATTTTATTTTAATGTATAATATATTTTTAAAATATAAACACATATTAAATTTTAAATAATATACTTGCATTTATCTAAATTATGTAAAAATAATATATATAATTATTAAGATAGTATAAAATTATTCAAAACTTAAATTAATTTATCTTATATTTTATAAAACATTATTAAATGATATAATTATTCAAACTTGACGGATAGTATAATCACGTTGAAAAACATAACTTAGATTCTTATCTTATTTTTTCTTGCATCTATTTTTTATATATATTTTTTTATCATAACATTTATTACATATTTTATTTTATGTGTTTTTATTTTTCTGTATGTCTTTTGCCGCCTATTCAAGACATCCACCAATCATTTCCTATTGTAGCATACTGGTTGCATCCTCAATAATAAAAACTTAAAAGTTCAAAGGTGTTTTATTATATATACATGGCTAGAGATTTTTTCACATTAGTTTAATTCTTAAAATTTTTATACTTATCTAAATTTTTTATGTAATTATTTAAATTATATTTAATGAATTATAATTTATTATTTTATTAATTATTAGATATAAATTAAATAAAAAATTTAAATTAAATATAAATTTTTTTAAACTAACACCAGTATATATACTATGACGTGTATATATAAAAATATATATATAATTTTCCAATATTATATATAGACCGTTGATTTTTAATAAATTAAGTAACAAAACTGTAATCATGTTAATATTAGCGACATGTTTGAGCTTACGTACGAAAGTAATTTTATGACTTTTATATAAATTATTTTAAATTTCTGTAGTGTCCTATTTTCATTGAAAATCCTAAAGTATCAATTAAAAGGGAAACAGTAATATACTAAAGCTTTATTATTTAGTAACAATTTAAAATTAACTTAGTCTCGTATAAATTTTCTTAATAAAAATTAATATAGACATTATGAATTATACTAACAATATAATATATTATACTAATAACGAAGTTTATGGATTAAAAATATTAATATATTTAATTATTTGATAATAATAATAATAATAATAATAATTCTTATTCATTAATAACTTTGTGGATAATGTTATGGACAAAGCAGCAGCAATATTATTATTATTAAAGTGTATATATAATTAAAAAATAATAATCATATTTTTTTATTAAAAACTATAAAATTTATTATAATTTCAAAAAATTAATTATTAATTTTTTATTATATAGGAGATTTTGGGTAAAAATTAGTGTCCGGTTGAGGCGGAATTCCTTTTTCCAGCGTGACAGCGTGTGCGCACTCCGTACTAGTAGCACGTGCTGAAAGCGTCGTGATGTGGAAATGCAACTTGCCTAAATTCTAATACTTTATTTTGATTAAAAAAATGGAAAAAATATTAATAATAATTTTTTTATCTATTTAATTTAAAAATGAAAAATAAAATTTAAATTTTAAAAATAATTATATAAATTAAAATGTTCTGCTATTTTTCTTTTAATTGAAATTTAAATATTTTTACCTTTCTTCGCAATTTTTTTTATGCCAAACAAAAGGTAAAGTAAATTGTAACATTTCAACTTACATATGCTTTTTGATATTTTGCACTTGTGGTTTTTTCATTCGTGTAGTTTATGTGGTACTGATTATATGATTCATATGCAGTGTATTATAATTTTATGAATAAAAAATGTTTTTTAAGGATGAATTATATCTTTTTTGGAGAACAAATCATCATCTTTTTAAATTCTATATTTTATACAAAGAATCCTATACATTTGATATTGAACACTCAAGTACTCCCTCTCAAATTGTGCTTCCGTTGGAGTATATTAGTTACGAGGGTTTTTCCTTTTTAATATTTGTTATTATGTATGTTTTGAATTTAATTATCTTTACTTTTATATTTATAACTATGTGTAATTATATACTCTTTCCTATAAAACAGAGATAAATTTTTATGATGTAATTTTTTTAAAATTTTAGTTTGATTTTATGACATTGATATTATTTGTCAATTATAATTATTTTTTTAATATTATTATTATTTTTCAATCAGTTTCTTAAGGATAAATCTTAATTAATCAATCAATAGGTTAATAAAATTAAGAAGCAATTTGAGTTTAGTAGTTAAAATAATCAATCTATCGCCTAAAATTTTAATTAATTAATTGAGTTTGACAAATATAATATTTTTTAATGTTCTTATTTATCATTTTGTTTTCTATAATTATTAGAGTAACCTATAAATAAAAAAATTGTCATTAATACATGATTATTATGTAGTAGTAACAATTGATTAGATAATTAGTAATTATTTTAACATAATTAAATAAAATTGAATTGAAGAACATATAGGTAATCACAAGAAAAAACCAAAGTTTTAAGCTTTCATCCATATAAATAAACTTTGTGATTTCTCTATCATTTGTTTTATTTTTTACTTTTCTTAATTATATTTTAATCCAAATAACTCATCGATTGCATTGCTTAACATTCAATGAATATTAGTAATAGGTACTTGTGATTATAGTTTATGTAGAAAAGATACTAAGAGGGTCTAAAATGCTCATTTTTATTACAATTAATAAGTATACTTGTTCGTTGGTTGAAAACATTTTTAAAGGATTTAAATCTGCAACAAGTTTTTGACGTCATTGTTGGAGAGAGGATTATTGATAAGTGTTGATATTAAGTAAAAATTTTCATAAACATAGGCACCTATTACACTTGATTGCATGGATTTAAGCCCAAACTATCTTAATTATAAGTATTTGTAGTCATTTTTATGCTTTTAAGAGTTGAATATGAATTTAATAAGACTGAATCTTAAAATAATTTATTTAGTAGGTGAATTGAATTGAAGAGGAAAGGAGGATAGGAAAGTTTGGGGGATTAATGAGGAGTGTCGTATCAAAGGGACTTCTCTTTGGGGTTAAAGTTAGTGATGGACTTGAAATCTTATGTTATAATTTGCAAATGATACTTTGATTATAAGCAAAGCAACTGAGCAAAATTTGTGGAGGACAAAGGCTATTCTACACAGCTTTGAGCTTATATACGAGCTTAAAGTTAATTTTCATAAGAGTTATATTGTAGGGGTGAATGTGACAAGCAGTTTTTGAGATACAACATCTCGCTTTCTAAATTGCAAGGTAAGATCTTTTCCTTTTCGATATTTAGGTATATATGTTGGAGACAAACTGAGAAGAAGTGCTTGGCAAAAGCTTGTTGAGGTGTTTAACTGCAAACTAGCATATTGGAAACACAAATACATTTGCATTGGGGGTATAAAGTAACACTACTTAATGTTGTTCTAAATAGTCTTCTACTACATTATTTATCTTTTTGGAGAATGTCATTGGGTGTCATCAAGGAAGTAGTGAATATTCAATGTTAGTTTCTTTGGAGTGGTGTGAAGGAATCGTCAAAAATAGCTTAGGTTAAATGGAAAAGGGTATGCATGCCAAAGAAAGAGGACAATTTGGAAGTGAGAAATGTAGAATGTGTTGGGTAAATGAGTTTGGAGAGGATTGAAGTTTTCAAACTCATTATGCTTTAATGTGTTACAAGCATGGTGTAAATCATGTGTTGATATGTTAGTTTCTTTAGAGGTGACTTACAATACTTCAGATTGCTGGAAGGACATGGTGTGAGTTTGTAAGTAAGCCAATAGGTAGATAGATTCTAATGTCACACAAATTCTTGGCGATTGTTGTTCCTTTATTTTTTGGAGGGATAAATGGGTGAAAAATATTATGTTGGCGAATTCATACCCAAGGCTATTTTCAGCATTGACTAATAAAGAGGTACAGGTGATAGATAATGGACAATTTGAGATGAGCCAATAGATATGAGAAATTTCTTAGATAAGACAATTGTTTTCATGGGACGAGGATTTATAACAGCATTTGTGGAAGACTATGGAATGGACGAGACTAAGAAAAAATGTGAACGACAATATTCAATCCGCTCATCACTACATTCATAATTTCTTCACTGCAAGTACAGTTTGAAGTTGTGTCTACTACAGACATTACGCAAAATTTGGAAGGTCAGTATAATGAGGAAAGTAATTCATGTGTCATTTGTTGCTTAATGCAGTTCTGGTGCGGAGGAATTTGACCAAACACAGTTTGACGATTCCATCAGAAGCTTGTGAGTCTTGTGATACCAAAATGAGGATCTACTACAACTTGTTTTGCATTACGGTATTTCTGAGACTGTGGTATATGGTGTTCGAATGGTTTGGTGTCAGTATATGCTTACCTGAAAATTTGCATAAGGCATTGCTGAGTATGTATGGAATTTGATGTGGAAAAAAGAAATGGAGGGGAGTTGTAATAGTGTAGTTTGTAGTAGTATAGATAATTTAGCTTTGACAAAATAATATTCTCTTTAATAACAACGTGCTAAATGTTAGTGAAATGCTTGATTTCTATTAAGTATTATTATTAGAAGTGGCTTGCGACAGGACTTTTGAAAAGCTCGATTGTGTATATGAATTGGATTAACGATCCTTGACATGTATTGTTAATTCTTTTTAGAAATGTAATGGATTAGAATACCCCC